CCCGTATAGCCTTAACAGACTGTTTGGGCAAGTGCTGTGAGCGAGCACCTATGAAGGCCGGCACGGCACACGAGGAGGTGGGTGGCCAGCACCACGCCCGACCGCCTTTGTCTACGCAGTGGCGATGTTTACTACACAGCACCAGGTACTAATTCGAGGCTGAGTCGACCGAGGGGAAGCCCAGGACCGGTTCAGATAATCGTCACTGGTGCTGGCCGTGAGCGGGAATCGAACCCAGGTTGCCAATGTTCGTAGCGCAGCGCGCTAACCGCTCCACCACGGCTCCCCACAAGATGCACGCACACATCGTGTCGTTCTGCATTGTTCTACTTGCGCACAGCGTGCCCAGTGATTCGCTCATTCATTCCTTCATTAAATGTCTTCACTGGCAAAGCAGAACACAGCGACAAATGGTCGCGACTGGAGACATCTCATACGCTTTTCTCGGCGAATGAGTGAATTCATTGTAAGGTTAGTATCTGCATTAAGTCGGCTCGCTGTGATTAGGGATTTTCCTGAACTGTCATGTTTTATTTGTTTCATAGTCTCGCGTATTTACATGAATACTTCACTCCGTTGATGTTGTTGTTTGTTGTCAGGACTTCATTGTCTGTCGGAGCTGTCCAGGACTGAGTGTCCGGAAAATATTTCCCTGCAACTCCCACACCCCCACCGCAAGCACGCTGTTGGGTCGGGTGGGTGGGGTGGGGGTGGGTGGCTCAACATATTTCGTGAGAAATTAAGCCCTGGTTTATGTTTGTTGTTGTTATTGGCAGTTGTCCACTTCTCGAAACAAATAATCACCGAGCACGCAAGTTCAACTGTATATATGTGTATGCTGAACTTATTTCGCACCGTACGTAGACAACCGTGCTAATCCGAGATGCGGGAGAAGGACAACAAAAGAAACACAAAGTCAGGAACTGTGAACGTGACTCTGAGTATATAATGTATCCCCCCCCCTCCAACTCGTGTGCCTATCCGGCATTCATAGGTGCTCACTAACAGCACTTGCCCCAACGGCACGTGAGGCTTTACGGGATTTGCCTTTGTATTTATAAGACGCACGCACGTATACAGATTACATCGTATCCATGGAGAGTGTGGAATAAAGTACTAGACACTGGTGCTGTGGACGCGCAGTCACATAGACACGAGGGGCACTCGGGTCGACAGACAGGTGAAACAGCACATGGATCTATACCGATATCGATGCAGACGGACACGTGAGTATTGGAGAGACGCGAAACATACAACGTAGGCAGACAGATCGATTGATAACAGACGCATGGATATGAAGTTGGACGGACAACATACCGACAGACACGTACATATAGACACGTGCACATATGTATAGAGAGGGTAGCATAGGTGAGCGACTGATAGACATTGAATACAGATTGGCCGATATAGATGTAGGTGACAGACACATTATATGACTGACAGGCAGACGGACACATGGGGATATTGACTGACAGAGGTATGTATATTTATGTTCATATGATGGACACATAGATTTCAAAATAAATTCATTAGATGTAACAAAAAAAGTCAATATGCTGCATCGCGCATACTGATAACATGCTCTATCTGACACACACACATATTACGGAGGAAGACACATAGATACATGGATATCCGTATGATACGCAGTCAGAGACATATATAGACATATATCTGAAAGCAAAACAACCCCCATCACGTTCACATAATTTGGTCTCAATCTTTGTTACAAATCTGCGCTATGTCTTCTGTACGCGTGAACCTATAGACGCAAATGCAGTATAATCTGCAGACGAGACAATGTAACGCTCCAGCTGGGCATCTGTGAAAAGAGCTTCATAGCTCATCGGATTCTTCCAGTCTAAATAAAGATTCTGATTCTCAACTCCTGCGAGCCAAATTGTCTTCTCGATAAGAGAGCTAGAATTTCGTTCGATATCTGGGCAGACACGATCCTGATTGGCACCACCACGAACGTCGCGATGGGTTTCCAGGCCGTGTTTCGCGCCTCCGATGAGCACGGCTGGACTAAGTACGGCGCTAAAGAAGTTCAACACACACACACGCATGCATACGTTGCATTGCATGCGTCGCGGGACGAGAATCTCTGAGCGTGAATACGGACGGGGGGACAATAGACGCAAGCCCATCGCCGCTGTTCGTTCGGCCGACAATTTGCCGCTGAGAAGCGCAAATTCCGGCCGATAGCGGTCGTCGTTTGATTCAGTGATTGTGTGTGAGTGTGTGCGTGAGTGTGTGTGAGTGTGCGTGAGTGTGTGTGTGAGTGAGTGTGCGTGAGTGTGCGTGTGTGTGTGTGAGTGTGTGTGAGTGTGCGTGAGTGTGTGTGAGTGTGCGTGAGTGTGTGTGAGTGTGTGTGAGTGTGTGTGAGTGTGTGTGAGTGTGCGTGAGTGTGTGTGAGTGTGTGTGAGTGTGTGTGAGTGTGCGTGAGTGTGCGTGAGTGTGTGTGAGTGTGTGTGAGTGTGTGTGAGTGTGCATGAGTGTGCGTGAGAGTGTGTGAGCGTAGCGGTTAGCGCGCTGCGCTATAAACCCTGCGACCCGGATTCGATTCCCGCTCACGGCCAACACCAGTGACTATATTCTGAACCTGTTTCCGGGCATCCCCTAGGTCGACTCAGCCTCAAACGAGTACCTGGTTCGGTGTGTAAACATCGCCACTGGGGAGACAAAGGCGGTCGAGCGTGGTGCTGGTCACCCACCCTCTCGTGTGCCGTTCCGGCCTTCATAGGTGCTCGCTAACAGCACTTGCCCCTGCAGTCTGTTAAGTCTATGCGGGGGATCTTTGTCTTTGTGTTTTTAGTGAAGTTTTTAAAAGGTCGCGAAACTGCGTGTTCCGTCTGGGTCCTCTACTGAGGGTCACGTGAACTCTCTGTGAGTTGTTGAGGTCTCAGGAAGTCATTGCGGCGGTGGCCCCCGTGACGTTCAGATGTCGTTGTGTCGGCGTGCGACAGATTTGGGACTCGGCTTTATCTTCCAGTTCCTGTGCTCAGTTGAACAGACGAGAGATGCTGCGTACACATGCGTTTACACGCACTGGCAACACACACTAACACACGCACGCTCATAGAGCTAAGTCATACATAGAGCTATAATAATTACTCACGGCAAAATAAATTCAACACGATTAGCATCATAAGTTACATCTGAAGATCGGACACATAGAGAGATATACACACACACGTCATGGAACTTTGCACATGTAGGGCCGTGCACACGCATAAACGAACATACAAAAGCAGCCACACAGAGATGCACACACACACAGAGTTACACACACATGGAGCTACACACACACAGAGTTACACACACATGGAGCTACACAGTACACACACACAGAGTTACACACACATGGAGCTACACAGTACACACACAGAGTTACACACACATGGAGCTACACAGTACACACACAGAGTTACACACACATGGAGCTACACAGTACACACACATCGAGCTCCACACACATGGAGCTACACAGTACACACACAGAGTTACACACACATGGAGCTACACAGTACACACACAGAGTTACACACACATGGAGCTACACAGTACACACACACAGAGTTACACACACATGGAGCTACACAGTACACACACATAGAGTTACACACACATGGAGCTACACAGTACACACACATCGAGCTCCACACACATGGAGCTACACAGTACACACACAGAGTTACACACACATGGAGCTACACAGTACACACACATAGAGCTCCACACACATGGAGCTACACAGTACACACATAGTGCTCCACGCACATGGAGTTACACAGTACACACACAGAGTTACACACACATGGAGCTACACAGTACACACACAGAGTTACACACACATGGAGCTACACAGTACACACACAGAGTTACACACACATGGAGCTATACAGTACACACACAGAGTTACACAAACATGGAGCTACACAGTACACACACAGAGTTACACACACATGGAGCTACACAGTACACACACAGAGTTACACACACATGGAGCTACACAGTACTCGCATCGAGCTCCACACACATGGAGCTACACAGTACACACGCATCGAGCTCCACACACATGGAGCTACACAGTACACACACAGAGTTACACACACATGGAGCTACACAATACACACGCATCGAGCTCCACACACATGGAGCTACACAGTACACACACATAGAGCTCCACACACATAGAGCTACACAGTACACACGCAGAGTTACACACACATGGAGCTACACAGTATACACACACATAGACCTCCACACACATGGAGCTACACAGTATACACACACAGAGAGCTCCACACACATGGAGCTACACAGTACACACACACAGAGTTACACACACATGGAGCTACACAGTACACACACAGAGTTACACACACATGGAGCTACACAGTACACACACATAGAGTTCCACACACATGGAGCTACACAGTACACACACAGAGTTACACACACATGGAGCTACACAGTACACACACATAGAGCTCCGCACACATGGAGCTGCACAAACATAGAGCTCCACACACACGGAGCTGCACATACATGGAGCCCCACAGGCATGGAGCTGCACACACATCGAGCCACACTCGCACACTAAAACAGCCAGTCTGTGACACACACGCAGGCTATGACACACACACACGACTGTGACACACACGCAGGCTATGACACACACACACGACTGTGACACACACGCAGGCTATGACACACACACGACTGTGGCACACACACAGGCTATGACACACACACACACAGGCTATGACACACACGACTGTGGCACACACACACACGCAGGCTATGACACACACACACGACTGTGACACACACACGACTGTGACACACACACACACAATTCTCTTGAGCGCAACGCGAGTCACACCCAACACTTCACCGCCTCCCCCCCCCACCTCCATCATCCACCTCTCACACTCCCTCCCCATCTCACCCACCCCCCCCCTCTCCACCACCCCACTCCCACGCCCCAACACACGCGGCCACCGCCGTCGCCCCTGCCGCCTGTGTTTATCGCCTCCTGAAGGCTCGCTGGCGTCATCCTCTCGCTAATGAAGATGACCACCGTTAGAGAGACGCGCACGGGGCGGATGGACGGCTGACAGATTACAGAGGGGGCGCGATTTAACCGGAGCGCGGACTCCGAGCGACGCACTTCGCCTCCGCAGTCCCCGCGGGCGAAGCCACGGACGGCAGCGAAGTGTCGGGGACTTCATTGGCTTCGAGCGCAGGGGGGCCAGGAGTGGGTGGGTGTTTGGTGGGTGGGTGTTTGGTGGGTGGTAGTGGGAGACGCAGTTGTTAGTTTAGCGCGACGCGGGCCGAAGCGGGCGATGAGATTGCGTGGGTCTTCAGTGGCCATCGCGGGCGTTGCAGAGCGCGCCGGCCTCGTTTAGCGTCGTCGTCGAGGTTGTGAAGAGGGGCGAGTGGCAGGGCGCAAGTACACATTGGTCGAGGTTGTAGGACGACACCGGGGGGGGGGGGCTGTTGCGACGTGGGATTGGCAGGCGGTAGACGAGTCGAGGTATATAGGATTGAGTCGAGTCAGAACACAGCGAGCCGCGGACGCAGACGTTTCACGAGCCGCTCAGATCATCGGCGCTCACGACGACGTCGAGCCAGCAGGCGGGAGGGTGTGTGGGGGGGGGGTTGAGTCCAAGTACACGGGCACGTGTTCAGCTCGCTGTCGAATTGTTTTCAACAGAGGCGTAGGGTTAGCGCGTATCATCAGTACACACACACACACACACTCTCACACATAATTAGAGCTATCTTATCATCATCAGCAGCAGCGGCAGCGTCGTCGTCATTATTTATTTCCCTGCGCCCATGGACGCCGTGCGAAGGGACCTGATGATGCTCATGTCCGAACGAGCGCTCGGTGGACACAAGTCGCACTTGCGATGCGAGCCTCCGCCGAGTCCGGACCAGGACAGCGCGGGCCACCGCACCCCGCCGCCACTGCACGCGCACGGCCTCGGCATCGGTGGCGGCGGCGGCGGCGGGGGCGCTCGTCTCAGCCCGCGAGCTGCCTCCCTGCCGGGCCACCTCTTCTCGCGCGACGAGGCGACCGTCCACAGCGCATTCCGTGCGGCTGTGCAGGCAGACCACGCCGCCAGCGGACTGTCCCTCGGTGGCGGCGGCGGCGGCGGTGGTGGTGGTGGTGGTGGGAGCGGCGGGGCTCTCCTGCAGCTTTTTCGGCGGCAGGCCGCGCTCCCCGGGCCGGCTTCGCTGTCGGGACCGGAGAGGTCCCTTCACGTCATCCGCCAGCACGGGGGGGCAGCCGAAGCGCCCGCCAGAGGCGAGCCCTGCACCTCGGAGGATGAGATACTGGAGGAGGAGCTGGAGGTCAGCTGCTCCTCGCCCGAGTGTCCGGCGCCGGCACTGCGAGACTCGGCCAATGCGCATCATCATCATCAGCAGCAGCATCAGCAGCAGCATCAGCAGCAACACAGCACAGTCGCGGCAGCTGCTACGGGAAAAGGGAGAAGCAGCGACAGTCCTGGCGGAAAGGGTGAGGAGAGAGGGGGGTCACGGGAGGGGAGAGGACTGGGACCCCTCCACGGGCCCTGTCTATGAGTGTCCCCTCGTCAGAGGGTGTTTACGTGTGCACATTTTGCTGTGTGTGTGATTGTGTGTGTGTTTGTGCGTGATTCTGTGTGTGTGTGTTTTATGTTTTTATGTAGATATCTGTGATTGACCAATAAACAGTGACGATTATCTGAACCGGTCCTGGACCTCCCCTAGGTCGACTTAGCTTCAGTGCGCTGTGTAAACATCACCACTAGAGAGACAAAGGCGGCCGGTCGTGGTGTTGGCCACCCACACCATTGTTTGTCGTGCCGGCCTTGATAAATGCTCGCTAATGGCACTTGCCGCAAGTCTGTTAAGGCTATAGGGGATGTTGGTATTTGAGATTGTGTGTGTATGTGTACGCTTGACTATATGTGTGCGTGTGCCTCTGTACATGTATTGGGGAACGGTAATGCAACGGTTAGCGCCTTGCGCTACGAAACCCGGTGACCCGAGTCAGATTCCCGAATCACGATGGTATACTCGCTAAAAGTACTTTCCCCAACAGTCCGTTAAGGCTACACGGGGGGTCTTTGTATTTGCGTGCGTGTGCGAACGGGACCATGAAGAGGTAACGCAGGGTCTGGTTCAGACATTATTCGCCACTGATGTTATCCGTGGCCGGGCTAATCGAACTCACGTGTGCCTAGCTCATAGCGCGCACCGGCGATAACCGCTTCGCTCACCGTCTGTCTCCTCGCTCTAACAACTATTCCGTTTTACCAAGTCGGCGCCACGTGCGTCGAGAGAATGGGAACGTTGTTGCCGGGGGTCACGGCCAGGGGCTTCACCAAGATGCACTGCCCAGCCCGGTGAAGTAGAGACGAACGAGTACACGCCGCTAGCCGCATGGCGCGGGGGGGAGGAGGTCATCTCCCAGCAGGGCATTGACGACGGGCTGGGTTAGTGTGCCATGCAGTTCGAGTGCTGTCGTGATAACGAATGGAACCCGTGCGATGTTTTATTGACTAACTTCTCCCCACCCCCTCCCCCCGCGCGCGCTAACAAGTCACGAGAATGATCCACACGAACAATTCTAGTCGACTCTAAAAAAAAAAAGTGGTCTTTTTTATTGCTCGTCGTCAAAGCGGGTAAACTATGGACCTGTTTCGACTTTCCTGGCTTCGTTTTTCTTGGGTCTCATCAGCCAGCAGTAGAGGCATGCGTGCGGAGAGCGAGTCCCGCTTGGCATGTCTGAGGTCTCCTTCCGCGACAATGACTCTTTGCGCGTAACGCGTCAGCGACTTGCGTAATATGTGATGCAGCTCCTTCGCTAATAATAATCCACTGCTGGATGAAGGCCTTTCTCTCTACGGCTGTTTGACCATGCTTCACCACTGTGGGTCAGTAAGGGGGTGGGGCAGAGGGGTGACTTACGTGATGTGAAATGAAACACGGTTGTCTGTCGAGATTTCAAACAATTGAAACAATAGTTGTTAGGCCATTATATAATAATAATAATAATCATCGGCCATCATCAATCCACTGCTGGATTAAAGCCTCTCCAGGTCGTTGCCATCTGTCACCGTTCTGCGACGTGATCGTTAGGTTCACGCGGACAAGTTCGTTGGGGATCGTGAATCGCGAGCGAGCTGCGGAGCCGATGGAGGCGGCGGCGGCGGGGGGGGGGGGGGGTCGTAGCGATGGAGGTAGAGAAAGGCGACCTCACGGACAGAGAGACGCGGCAACTCGAATGTTCGGCGACAGAGAACGGCGATCGTAACAGGACAAATACGCGGGCCCACACCGGGAGATTTGGAGTTTTGTTTTACATTTGAACGTTTCCTGAACGTCCAAACAATTGATCGTAATTCACGAATTACTCGCACCGACATAGAATTAATTTAACGTGATATATATCTATATTTTGGAAAGGTGTCAGTGCGTATAGTTAGTATTGTCTTAGATTATTGATCATGAAAACATTCGAGTTAGACTAATTTTAATATTATAGTTTTAAAAATGAAAATTGCAAGGAAATATAAAAACGACGTATTTAAACAAACGTGTGTATTTTACACTCTGTAAATAAATAAAATGACGTATGAACTTCAGTAAAATGTAATGTTTCACGCATGACGCTATGTATATATACACACGTATATATAAAAAAAACACGTTACTCGCACTATATATCATATATTGTACGTTGAATTAAAAGTAATCTAGGGTTGAATAACGCGCTGTTCAATATTTGTCCAAGACGTGCGATTTTATGCGGTATTCCTCAGGCTGACATCGCTATATTATTTGCAGCTGTTAAGAGGCAGTAACTATAATTTAAGACGCAACATTTTTTGGTGACATCTGAACGCCAGTTGTTTCTCCCCATCACGGAATTGACTAATGTAGCAGCCACTGTGCACACATGTGTGTGCACGCCTACACGAACACACCTACGCTTATACTAATTGATACTAGCTCGCATTGCTGCTAAAGCTATCGTGGATGCTAATACATTTCAACGATATATAAAGATATATATATATATATACATTCAACACGTGATTCATTTGCCAATGAACAAATACAAATACTTAAACGCTTGGCGCTGACAGTGCCTTAAGGATCAACACCACATCTTCTTTGGCGATTTGATACTATAATAGGCAATCATGATGAATACTTTACACTGCAATTAACTCCCATATAATATATGTAATACAATGCGATAATTTATTATTCTACACGGGGTATAAGCGCAATTCTCATAGCGCACGGATATCAATCACAACTCTTATTCCTGTTTGGAAAGTTACCATCGTTGGCGCATTCATGATGATCATCATGATCATCATCAACAAGATGATCATCATTATCTTAATCATCAACCATGGTCAATCTACTGCTAGGATGAAGGCCCCGCCGTCATAATTCATATCGGACGGAAATTGTGACTGGAATGATACTTGTTTAAATCCCGTTCACAGTTTTAATAAATAAGAATATGAATATAATAATAATGATGCAACAAAATATGTGGTGGCGATGCTGCTTCTGCTACGTTGGCAGTGCTACACAATTAACAACACCCATCTCAAAGCATTCATCAAACAGCACTGCCACGTGTGCCCTGAAGAAGGGTCATTCGCCGAAACGTCACCTACTATTGAATTGTTATTTTAAGGCCACGGTGGTATTGACGAATCTGTTGAGTTTTTTTATTTTTATAATAAATTATTACGCTTCATTCTAAAATCGCCACTGTCATATTCAGCTAAAATCGCCACTGTCATATTTTCTAAAATCGCCACTGTCATATTCAGCTAATGTGTCATTGTAACGGGCTCGCAATGCACGCGTCAACAGATTCAATACTTTGACCAACAACGAGCGGCATTTACAATCTCACGAACTGTGATTACAAACGCGAGTGTGTGTAATTGTGTGTGGGTATATATGTGTTTGTGTCTTTTATGCGTGTATTTGGTTTTGTTATTGTACATTTATGCGCGTGTTTTGTTCCAGTGTGTTTGCATGTATGTGTGTGTGTATTTATGTATGTATGTGTGAGTGAGTGTGTTTGCCATATTGTGTTATCTGTGTGTTTACGTGTGATTGTGTGTATTTACGTGAGTGCGTGTGCATGGATTTGTCTGTGTATGGCTGTAAGTGTGACTGGGCATTATGTGTCTGCCTCTGTGTGTGTGCGTGTGTGACTGTGGGGAGTGGTGGAGCAGTGGTTAGCGCACTACTCTACGAACCCAGCGATCCGAATGCAATTGCCGCTCACGGCCAACATCAGTGACGAATATCTCAACCTGTCATGGAATTCCCCTAGGTCGACTCAGCCAACATTTAGTACGGGCGCGGTGCGTAAACATCACCAATGGGGAGACAAAGGCGGTCGGGCGTGGTGTAAACCACACCACCCCCTCGTGTGCCGTGACGGCCTTCAAGAGGTGCGCGCTCAGAGCACTTTGCCCAACGGCATGCATTTGTCTATATGGGTGACATTTGGCTTTGTCTTCTGTGTGACTGTGTTTATCTGTGTGTTTAAACTGCGTTAAAGGTCAAGTGATGCGATATTTCAATTGACTCTCACAGGGCGGGATCGTGCGCGTGTGTGTGCGCGCGCGTGTGCGCGTGTGTGCATGTAGGTTTTTGTATATATGTGTGCGCGTATATGTGAGCACGCGTACATATATATGAATTTGTATGTGCATACGCGTACGTGTTCGCGTATTTGGACGAGTGGTGTTAGCGAGCACCTATGAAGGCTGTCACGGCACACGAGGGGGTGGGTGGGTGGCCAACACCACGCCCGGCCGCTTTTGTCTCCCCAACGGCGATGTTTACTACACACCTCGCCAGCTACTCATTTGAGGCTGAGTCAACACGGGGGATTTTCCGTCCTTCTGCCTCCGTGTATATGTGCTTGCGCACGCGTATGTCAGTTTACATGCGAGTGCGTTGGTTTGAATGCTCATGTGTGTACGTGTATGCGTGTGTGTACACATGTGCGTGGCGAGCGGTGGTGTAGCGGTTAGTGCTACGCTGCGCTACGAACCAGGCGACCCGAGTTCGATTCCCGCTCACGGCCAACACCGGTGGCGATTAACTAAACCGGTTCTGGGCCTCCTCCTGGGCGACTCATCCTCAAATGAGTACCTGGTGCGGTGTGTAAATATCGCCACTAGGGAGACAAAGGCGGGCGTGGTGCTGGCCACCCACCCCCTCGTGTGCTGTTGCGACCTTCATAGGTGCTCGCGAACAGCACTTTCCCCAACAGTCTGTTAAGGCTATACGGGGGATCTTTGTCTTTGTTTTGTCGTTGTACACATGTGCGTGCGTACGTGCATGTGCGTTGATGTATGTCCGTGGGTTTCGTGTGTGCGTGTGTGCGTTTGTGTATCAATGCGCCTGTTTTTGTGTATGGGTGTGCGAATCCCGATTCGATTCCCACTCACGGCCAACACCGGTGACGATTATCTGAACTGA